CTCCTTCCTTTCAGGGATCTTATGTTAGCTATTTAGTAAACAATAAAACAATAAAGTTGTAAAATGTAAAAAATAATCACCACCTCTTCAAAACTGTAAGGACTCTAGAATCGGGCAGAACTGGGGCATAAAATATAAATTACAGAATCACAGAACGGTTTGGTTTGGAAGGCACCTTCATTGGGACCCATGATGGATTTGAAACAGCAGATGCAAAGTGGTAGGCGTGGTTCATCTCAGAGAAATTCTGGCTGTGTTAAGTGTCCTTGTATTTCTGTGTTGTAGGATCTGCCAAAGCATCTTTGCTTTCCTCAGGAAAATGTAGCCATTTAATTGCCTTTTGGGCTTGGACCTGGTGTTTGATGAAAGAAGGACGGGATCCAGCTTAATTGGCTGCGTGGTGTTGGAAGCAGTGGAGGTGTCAGTGAAAAATCGTGGCTGAAGTTGGGTCTTTGGGAGCACAGGGGGAACGAGGGCATTAAATCATGGGGGCAACTGCAAAGAGCTGGAGTGTGAATCAAACCTCTCTGCAGCCTCCTCTAACAAAGGCTCAGTCACCACAGAAATCTGCTTTTTGGGGCTAGCTTGCACTTCTCTGTCTTGTCAGGGTCCCTTCATGCTTTCCCTTGCTCCATGCCAATGCAGATCTGCTCTGATTTTCTGAGAAAAGCAGGAGAGCTGTGGCAGTGGTGGTCCTTCCTCAGCAGGCTGGGGAGGTTGTTCCACCTTCAGCGTCTGCATTTGGTGGCATTCCTGTGTTTTGTTTTTGCAAAGCTGGAGAAACTTGCCTCAGTTACGCCAGCAGGATGACTTGCCTTCTGGTTGTGAATTGCAGCCAGTGACCATGAATACATTATCTGTCCCAGGCCACACAATCCCAGACTGGTTTGGGTTGGGAGGTCACCCATTCCACACCTTCCACTGCTGCTCCAAACCCCAGTGTCCAGCCGGGCCAATTCCTTCCCAAAATCCAGCATCACCCTAAGTCAGTAGGATGGAGAAGCCCTGTACAATTACTGTGCTACCAACAGCTTTATTACTGTGATTTACACCTTCTGTCAGGATTATAAAAGTTCCCTGTGTCATTACAGTTCCTTAACATTGTGCTTGCAACGTAGTGATTCCGTAGTAATAGAGTTTCCATTGTAGTAATTGCATTATTAGAGGAAAATCCCTTTGACCTCAAGTTCCACACGTTTGAAGTTCCATGTGTGCAGTTGCTGCTCTGGCTGTGGGACTCAGGGTCAGTCTGAAGAGAGGAATCTTCCTTCTTTATGAATGTGTAGAGCTGGATTGTATTAACAAGTAAGTTATTATTGATGTGCATGAAAATAAGGAATGAAAAGGAAGATAGGCCATGAATTCAAGAACGTAAATTACTTGTGGTATGATCTTGAGTGAAGAATTTTTACTTAAACCCAGCAGTTTGCTTCAGTAAATGTGGTCAGACACTGGGAGGAAGGGAAAAACTTACATCCTCTTTTTATAATTGCATCACTGTTTCCTTTTCCTAAATGGAAGAGATTACGGGGGGCATGTTTTATTAATTCTGACTTTCTTTTTCTGACCTGGTGGCTGGGGTTTTGAACACTGCTGGAAAAATGTCTGGAATCAATTGTCAGTAGCAGTGGTGTTTGCTGGTAGGATCCTGCTTGAAATTTTTGACACCCGTGTGTGATTTTATTTTTGCAAAGCAACATCATGCAAACCAGGTCGGGGAAGAGGCAGTTTCAGGCACAAGTCCCCTGCACTATCATCAGTGGAGAGACCATAAATGTTGTGATGGATGCTTGAAGGCAGTTTAATGTAGCACTGGAGAAAATAGAAGCCATTACCCCTGGAAGAGCTCCAGTTATGACACAGAAAATAAATGGTGCTGTTACAAGAGATGTACTGACAACAAAATTCCTGCTGGCTGGGGAGGAGAGCAGCAGAGCACGGTACAGAAACCTACAGACAATTATCTGTTATCTGAAGTAATGTTTATTTTTGGTTTAAATCCGACATGGAGACTGCTTGATAAAATGACTTAATCCAATCTGACAGAAATTTAGTCTTAATTATACTTGTGCTTGGGAACTGCCCAGTCTTTGCCACTGCTCAGATCAGTGTTGTGACATTTCCCTGCTCAGCACCTGTGTGTGGAGGGCTGTACCTGCACAGACAATGAACTGAGAGCTGTGCTGTCCAACCCAGCCTGGGCTGGCATTACAAAACCAGATTCAGGACAAGGGGGAACAGCTTCCCACTGCAGAGGGCAGGGCTGGATGGGATATTGGGAATTGTTCCCTGGCAGGGTGGGCAGGGCTGGCACAGGGTGCCCAGAGCAGCTGTGGCTGCCCCTGGATCCCTGTCAGTGCCCAAGGCCAGGCTGGACACTGGGGACAGTGGAAGTGTCCCTGCCCACCTAAACCATTCCAGGACTCTGTGAATCATTTTCAAGCTAACTCGTGGAACATTTAGTGTTTTTCATCCATCTCTTGGCTTCTGGTTGTGAATTGAAGGCAGTGACCATAAATACATTACCTATCCCAGGTCACAGAACCCCAGACTGGTTTGGGTTTGGAGGGACCTGAAAGTTCTCTCCCAGATTTTTTCAGTGGGAGGAGTTGAGGCAACAGCTACAACAGCAGGCACAACATCCTCACACATCTTTCCTGCATCACCTAGGAGAGAGGTCTTTCTACAGAAAACAAATGAAGCAACAGTCTGAGCTTCCAAATTCAGCAGAGCAGGTGCCTGCCTGTGAAAGTATTCTTTCCCCATCCCACCTGGGTCAGACTCAGAGGGAAATGAAGATGTGTGATGGATTCCAGCGTGTGCTGCTGAACAGGCACTGCTGTAAATCAGCCTCATAGCTAGATAGATCCCAAATCATAGGCAGATCCAAGAAAATAATGCTGTTGATTTCAAATGAGCTGTGTGTCAGGGTATTACTGCCCAGAAGAGTTGTGGGCAACCTGCAAATGGGTTCTTGCAGTACAACGCCAGCGAGTGCTTGTGGGAATTGACTTGAAACTCTCACACTGACCTGGTGCATGACTGACTGGAAAAAGATTAATTGCAAACAAGAAGTGGGATGATTCTTACATATTGTTTGTACTGTTTTGGGTTTTTTTTCTTCATGAAGTCCCAGTAGGATTTTATATTTTTGGTGTAACTGGCACTGGACCAGGCTAGATGAAGGGTAGAATTGCTGCCCTAATATTTTGCTTGGGATACATTTCATTGCATTGTTCTGCCAGGTGAGTGCAGCAGGCAGTGAGCTAATGCTAATGAAGCTGATGCAGCACAAACTTTCATTAATTTTCACCCTTCTGACAGTGTTTGAGAAGGACTTGGGGCTCATCCCAACTCAGCACCCTACCCTCTCCCAGGGCAGGCTGGGGGCCTGGCAGTGAGAGGCTCTGTAGCCCATTACCAATTCTGAAATCATCCAGGGCTTTGATAGCTCCTGCATTTTTATTGGCAGCATCCCCATGCTTCCTGCTCAGAGCTGCTGTGTCAGTGGTTTAACCTTGAGTGTACATCAGAGCCTCACAGGATGCCACTGTGTGCAGGATTCGGAGTGTAGCATTTGACTGAATCAGAGCTGCTGCTCTCTGAGTGTTTTCCCTGATGCTCCACAAGCTCCTTGTCCCCACCTCAACCTTTTCCCTTTTTTAAGCCTGCTCCTTAATGGCTCTTGGCTCAGGATTTCTTCTGGTCTCTTGTACTTCTGTAGTTTTTCCTGTCAGTGTGTGACACATTCCTACCTTTTCAGTAGTCATTCCTGCGTTTGGGAATGTTTTCAGTGTTACTTTGTTGCCATGTTTTAAGAAGAGGAAAGACTAAAAGAAGAAAGATATAGAAAGTAAAAGTAATAAACTGTTGTAAAAAAACCAACTCTGGCCTCTGTGTGTCACTCACTGGTGGTTTGCTGAAGCAAGAAGTGCAGGGCAAAATCAAATACTGGGGGTCGGGGTGGTTGGGAGTAACTGCAGGCTGAACATTCAGCTCTGGGAATTATCATCATGCCTTGTTCAGAGAGCTAAGTCACGTAAACCCAGGTTACTTCTCTCTTCTTTCTGAGAGTTTGTGCTCCCTCTTACACTCATCTCCTGTGTAAGGGAGCTTGCTGAAAATGTTTGCACAATCTTTTTTTTTTTTTTTCGTAATAGTTTCGTAAATATTATTAGCTATATATTTTTTGCTGTCTTTAAGGTATGCCGCTGGCACGATCCATGTATTTTCTGGAATCATTTGGAGCCTAAGTTAATTTGAGCAGATAATGAAAAGGAGTTTTAATTCAAAATACTACTCTTTCTCCAGGAAAAACTGCATCAGTTCACTTTTGACAACAGCAGATGGTAGCATTCTTATACAAGTTATCTGTTTGCAGTGTGAAACAAAGCTGAACACCCTTTTTTGTATGTTCTGGAGCTTCTGGGAGTTTTGTAAAGTTCTCTTAGCCATAAAGGGATTGGTCCTTGTGAGAACATTTTCAGCATCAGAACCCAGAGGAAGTTAAGGCCACTTTGAGAGCACTTTCTTCTCCAAATGGAACCATGTGTATTTCCCAGCACCAGCCTGAAAAGATGCCAGGGCTCAGGGTCGTTGAAGACTTTTTTTCCTGAGGGGAGTGGGTTTTACGTGTTATATTTGATCGGAGTACAGTTGTACAATTTACACAGTAGCTTTGCCTCTCCGCAGCCAGTTAATGCTGATACAATAACTTGAGTTACTTTTGCAAACCATTACATTTTAACTAAAACAGAGGCATAGCCTGGTTGCTGATCTTATTTCCCTTTCAACAGAGCAGAATATGTATTATTGATGTGTAATATGTACAATATATATTAATTTGTCATGACTGTGAGAGGAAGAACAATGTGAGCTAAGACTCTGAAGTTAGGAAAATTGCATCAGGGGCTGACTGCACCCTGCCTTGTCTTTTCCAAATGCACGTGATGAGTTTCCTGCTTTTCCCTTCCATGACAGCAAATTCTGTTCCCTTTTAGGAGCACCCCATCCTCGGGCAGCCTTTCTTTGTCCTGCACCCCTGTCGAACCAAGGAGTTCATCTCTGCTGTGCTGAGTAGCTCCCAGGACCATCACAGGTGAGGGGCACTGCTGGGCCTTGCAGGGCTCTGTTGCAATGCAGGTAAAATCAATCAGCTGCAGAGTGGAAATGGCCAAAGCTACTCCCTTGGTCCTAGCAGAATAAGACTGATGTATAGTCACTTCAGGACTGGAAATTAAAATACATTTGTGATAGGAAAAATGAGGGAATAGCCCCATCCGAAGTTGTTTTGTGACTGTTGAGACTGTCTGGAATTCAGAAAAAGCTGTGATAATGTATTTATGGTGCTTTTTTTGTGTTTTTTCTTCCCCCTAGACACACAAATTACATCATACTGTGGCTCAGTACTGTAGGCCCAGTTGTGGGCCTGAATCTGCCTTTGAGTTATGCAAAACTGGCACTTGAGCAGAGCACAGATGCAGATTTGGCTAAAAGGTAAGAGAAAAGGAAATCATCCTTTCCTCTCCCATCCTCCTGTTCCAAAGATCAGATGGATAAAGGGCAGAACCATTACCTTTGAAGCCCTTGGTTAATTTAGGACTCACCTTTCACTGTTTTTGTTACCTGCCTGCTTTGTTGCCTCCTTTGCTTTGCAATGAAAATTTGTGCAGAGAGAGAGGTGCTTGGCCCATTGCTGACACCTTTAATGAGCCCAGAGGGTGCCTGGTGCCTTGGGGGCTCTCTCAGGTGTGGAGAAGTGTTTTAAATTGGTTTCTCCAGCACAGGGTTGGGGGTCTGGCTGCAAGGATTTTAATTTAACTGTTTTGTGTTTGCTGTCACCTCTCCAGAGCCCTGAGCTGAAGGACTGGGAGTGGTTAGGCTGTGATAAAGCTGCTGCAGACTTCCCTGGGGATGAAGGATCCTTCCTGGCTGGCCATGCCAGAATGGAAATGATTGCTCATGGCTCTTTCTCTGGCCAGAACTTGCCACTGGTGACAATGGGAATTGGCTGCAGCTGTGGGAACACCTCCCCAGCACCACCCAGACCTGACCTCCCTTGAAATCACTCATCTCCTGCCTCCTGTGCCCTTGGTGAGGCTGCACACCAATGCACAAGCCAGAGCCCAGTTTCTGGAGCTACTGAACTTAGCCCTAGAAAACCTGCACCATCCGTGGGGCAGAAAATGCAATATAAACACAGAAAAATGCTCATGGGATGTGGTGTGAGCTTGTGGCAGTCAGGGTATGAAGGTTGTGAGCTCAATCCTCACACGGGGCACAACTTGTTAATGGCTTAACTGCACCACCTAATTAGTGCCTTGTCTTCATTTCCTTCTGCCTTCACTCAGAGTCAGGATTAAAAACACGAAGGAGATGAATTTCTCATTGGGACTTGGTTGTTTATTAAATCTTATCTAAAGTACAGAGTTCTGCAGCACTCCCAGCTGCCAGCTAAAAGTGAGCAGGATGGAGCTGAACCGAGCTGGTTACAAGGTGTTTAAAAGCCAAACAGTCCAATAAAGAACTGACACCTGTATTATTGATACTTTTGACCCAATAACCAAACTCCTGTGACCCCCAGTGCAGCACTGACTGTCCAACCAAAAACTACTGCCAAAACCTGGAATCATGAAAGAAGAAGGAAGAAGACAGAAAGAGGCAATGCCCCAAACCTTCCATCTTGTCCCATACCTATTACCATATTCTAAAACCCCAAATTCCAAACCCTTCACCATGTGCAATCACACACTTCTATTTAACTCCACACCCGTGATTTTAACTCCATCACTCAAATTTTGGAATCCTTCTCCAAGGCCTCAGGTCCAAAGCAGTGTTCTCCTGGGGGTCAGTGCCAGAAAGCACAGAAAGCTCAAAACTCCCAGGATTCTGGGTTCCAACAAGGGTATGGGGCTGAGACTGCTTCACCTGGGAGCCACCTTCTCCACCAGGGCCTGGAGAGGCACCAGCCCGTGTTCCCCAGCACACAGAACATCCTCATCCCTGGAATATCTCACACACATCACCCCTCCGGGAGCAAGCAGGGTGGGGACTGTCACAAACGGAGCCCTTGGAGCCTGAATGGAATGAACAGGTCCCGCTCTGAGCTCAGGTGCCTGGAGCAGCCGTGTGGCAGCATCTGGGTCTGCTGTGCTCCCCTGCCTCCAGGGAAGCTCCCCGTGCCCCCGGGAGCTGCTGCTGTTCCCAATTAGCGTTTCTGTTGTGGTTGTTTGATCTCTACCCTGCTCTGCTTCTGCAGCCTCTCCTGACAGCTGTTGGTTTTTGGGGAATTGCCTGGTGGTGCTGCCACTGAGAACCAGATTACGAGGAACTTCCCTGCCACCCATCCTGGCTTCTCTCCCAATCCCATTTTATTGGTAGTGAAAAACAGAGTCTGAGCAGTTGACCTTGAAACACAGATTTTATTTTGTACCTTCAGCCATTGCCACTTGCACACAGAGTCTAGTGTGTGCCCCGTCAGAGCTGGGAGTGTGAAATGCATCCAGATTCCGGTTTTCCAGATCATGTTTTTAACTTCCATTACTTGTCGTTGGTGGATATGGACTAGAGGGTGCAGTCCTTCAAATTCCATTGCTGCGGAATTTGTTTGGAATTTGGAATTAGTTTGAAATAGACATTTGGAATTAATAATAAGAGCACGTGGTTTATTCTGTTCTGTGTCGCAACAATCTGGAAAGCCGTTTTTCTCATGTAAGATTTACAAAATATGGCCCCCAGCTACATTGATTTCGTTAACACTTTTGGTAACACATGCTTGATGATTGCATCCACAGCCCATTTTTAAATTTAAGTGAGACTCAGATAGAAGGAAGAGCCAACAAAAAGAGGTAACAGCAGGTTTAAGAGCTGTTAAATGTTCATCCCTGCTCCCTGATCATCCCTGATCCTCACTTGTAATATCCTGGAACAGAAGAATAGAAGCGCTCAGCCTTCAAAACGTGAAGTTTATATGTAAAGGAAAATAAATATTTTTATTTTACATGGAAAAAGTCTCAACAGCCATTGCTTTCTACCTTAATTTACCATTTGCAGACAAGAGGAGGATTATTTGTCCAGGGCATTACACATTGTACTGGGCTCAAACAAGGAGGTGACAGTGCAGTATCTCATCAGTGTCAGTGTTTCCCTGAAATTTGCCTGGAAAACCAAAATTCAGCTCGGTTAACACAAATACATGGAGGTTAGATGGAGAAACAAATACAAGGTAACATAAATATTGTGGACAAGGAGATAAATAAGCCCGTTTGGATATCTCCTTTTTAATGGCTGAGATAGGATGTAGTTTCCTGTTTACATTTATGCCTTAATGACTTAAGATACCTTAACTGAATTTTTATGTACGGAAACTTTGTTTTTTCAAGCAAGTGAATTGTGGCACTGGTTTGTGATGATATTTTATGTTGCAATTCATTATTTAGTGAAACTATTGAAGTTCCTTAGACCTGAGCTTGGGTTTTGTCTACATGCATTGTCTGAACTCTTGCATCCTACCAAGGAGAGCATTTCCAGTTTAGATTTGTAGATTTGCTGAGTTGTTCATCTTTGTTAATGTGGAAAGATACATCAAGGGAGGTTCTTTACTTCTTGTAAGAGAGAACAGTCTCATACCTGCCCTGGGTTGCCAGAATCCTCAAGAGGAATTAATTTTATGTGTTCACCTAAGCAAAAAAAAAAAAGTGTTTTCTGTAGTTGCAGTTGGTAGCCATGTACATAATCCCTCATTTGTGTCAGCATGACCAGGTAAGAATTTAACCCCCTGCCAGGAGATTTGAGGTTGCCTGGCTTTGGTTGCTAACAGGAACATTCCTTTCCAGGCAGGAAGTGTGGAGCTACTTAATTGCAGCTAAATGCAGTCAAGTAATCAGTATCAATTCTTGCCGCGACTCCATGAATTTCAGCGAAACTTTATCAGTAACTTTTTCCCCCCCACTCTTGGCTACGATGATGTTTTCATGAGTCTATTTGGACATCTGTATTTATATTGCTCACATAAAAATGCAGTTCCAGCACAAAGGAAGGACGATTGCTCTTCCCTCTGAATGGTGAAGTTACAATTATTTCCTCAAAAAGACTCTCGTCTAGAGAACAGCGTGTGTATGGGTATTTATACCTATTTTTAGTAACACGTAGGCTTTTAAAAGTGTTTCAAGGAATTCAGTGCATTTTTTAGCAATAAATTCTTACCACCTAGAATAAAAAAAAAAAAATGCCTAAAGCTGAGAGAGCTGCAAAAGTAACCCTGTATTGAGTGCTCAGGATTTAGGAAGGTGACACACAGGTTGTTATCTCTTGGATTTCATTAAAATCGTAAAAAACCCTGCACCACGAGGAAGGTTTCAGTTCCCCACTTGAGAGCTTGTTGCAGCTGTCACCTCCTGAAGACAAATTCACCTTAGGGCGAGAGGGGATTTCACTGCTGTGTTTGAACAGAGAATGGATTTACAGAGCACCCTCTTGACACCTTCCTCAAGTGTGTTACAAAACAACATCTCTTGTAGCAGTTATTACTCAGTCAGCTACTGCTGGTGTCAGATGGTTGGCCAATTGCCTTAATAAGTGAAAATATTAATTAGTTTTGGTGATGAGGTGGAAAACATGGCCTGCTGTGGGTTCCCCTCTGTTTTGGGTTACAGAACACATATTTATTAGCCTTAAACCCGCTCTAGTAGCAATTTGGTGATGTTGGGCTCAGCTCATCTTTCTCCGAGTTCTTCCTGCAAT